TACAGTCCTTGGAGACGATGGTATCCCCTCGACCCGAGAGAACAAAGAACTGTGAGAAGGCCGCCATATTGCCCCCCCTTCTTTCTCTTGGCCCTCTTCCCCAGGAACAAGAACTCGCTGGAGACAATAGGTGACGTCCTTTCCCCCCCTTGCCCTTGCTGTCTACCCTCGCAGTGCAGGCAGACCATTGGGCGAAGCCACCAAAGCCACCAAAGCCACCAAAGCCACCAAAGCCACCAAAGCCACCAAAGCCACCAAAGCCACCTGCCGCTGACCCAAAACTCCCACCTCCAACACTGGTAGCCCACAAGCATGACCCCAACCCACGACGCCCACTAGCTGACACACACACACACACACACCTCTCCTCCGCTTTCTCCATCCCCCCCCCCCCCCCACCCTTCTCCCCTCCTCCCCCACATGCCTACCCTCGCGCCCTCGACCTCGCTCTCCGAGTATGTAGAGACCCACGCCGAGGCGGACAACTTGCTTGCTGCCTTTGTTCTTGCGGGCATTCCGCTAGCTCTTCTTATCGTTCCCTCCATTGCATGCTCTGTTTGGGGCTTACGTCTACGATGTGGCCTCGCTCGCTCACGTGCCTGTCTTGCTACTCGCATCGGCTGCTGTATCGGTGCCTCGGACGCTGCCTTTGACAAGTGGGCATCGCCTGTGGCTATTGCTCTTTGGCTGCTCCTCGGCCTGGTCCCGCTCGCCTCGTTCCTCGCCTTTGCAGTCGTCGTGGCCCTTGATGTGGATCCGCCGCTGCTGGGTGTGGCTGGTGCCCTGGCTGCCGCTGCGGTGGCTCTGATGGCCTACGGCGTCGCCCGATGGAAGACCGAGGGTTGGCGACTAACGCCTGCGGCCAAGTTTGCGCTCGCTGCCGCTGTCTCGGCCTTTGCCGCTCTGGAGGTCACCATAGCGGTGTGGATCCGGCCGTACGCCTTTCAGGCGCTTGCGGCAACGCTGCTCCCGCTCTCTGCGGCACCCATGGTGTATGTGTGGTACCTCAACGCGCCGACCGGGCCCATCGCCTTTGCCGACTTTGCCCGCGCCAAGGGCGTCGTGGCTCCCGGCCTTGCCGACGACTCGGGTTCGAGCTCCGACTCCGATTCAAGCTACGACTCGGACGCCTCCCGCGTCGATGGTCTCGGTGCGTACACCAAGCTCTACCGGGCCCAGCTCAGCGCGTTGTTCATTGTTGCTGCTCAGGGCTTCCTCGCTGCACTCGGCGTGCTGACCTACCTTGCGGTCGACGAGGAAGCGCAGGCTCGTCAGGTCCTCGGCTTTGCTCGCTGGGGCGCTATCTCGCTTGTCGACGCCCTGCTCGGCATCCTGTACTGGGCCGAACTGGTCGACTCACCACTTGTCGCCTCAGGCCTCTCAATCTGGGTCCGTGTTGTCTACACCGTGACTGGGACTCGGGTTTGGATCCTCGGCGACGCTTTTGTCGCCGCTTCGCTCGCGCTCTTTCTACTTGTCTCGTTCATTGCCGAGCGGTGGCCAAAGTCTGCTGCCGGCGACGGCACCTCGCCGCGCGACGTTGCTGCCGCCATCCTCACTCAGATGCCCAAGGATCGCCGTCTCGACTTTGCGCTGCCTGGCGTTGTCGACTCGTCGGACATCGACTCGGAGTGGGACGAGATCTACAATGCACCGCCCACTCCCGAGCCGTCCGAGGACGATCTGTTCGGCTCGCTCCGCGACTCGTTCCGCTCCACCTTTGGTCGGTCGTCGAGCTCGGCTTCGTCGTCGAGCTCGGGATCGTACGAGTATGCCTACGAGTACGCCTCAACGCTGTCATCAGAGGACGAAGAGCAGGAGGCGGTGGTTGAGAGGACTGCTGCCGTAACGACCGAGTACGAGTACGCGTACGAGTACGTGACGCCGTCTGCGTCGTCGGCGTCGTCATCATCGTCATCGCCGTCGACTTCGTCGCCATCTGCTGCCCTCGATGTGGACCTTGACGACCTATCGTGCTGCCGCAAGTACGTGGTGACCCGACCGGCGCTCGCCTTTGTGCTTCTTGCGGGCTTTGCTGGTGTGCTTTTCTACCTCTCCGGCCGCGACTCTGCGGATCTTGCACTCCCACGGGTGTGGGACCGCTCGCAGCTAACGCTTTCTGTCTCGGCAGTTCTTGTTGTGCCTGTCCTCACGCTCGTCTTTGCCGCCTTTCGGGCTTTCCAGCGCGCTAACTACACGCTCACGCCGGCGACGGCGTGTCTTGCGCTTGTGGCGCTTGGAGGCATCGCGTGTAACGGTGTCCTGTTCAACGCCGTTCACTCCTCGGTTGTGGTGCTTGTGGCGCACACGGTCGTTCCGTTTGTGCTCGCGCTAGAGTATGTTCTGCTTCTTGTCTGGGCCTCTGCCGACTACTACTGGATTGTTCCGAACGAAGCGTGGTGCTCTCGGCGCAACGGCGGCATGCTGTTTGGGCTCGCTCTGCTTGTCTCGTCTGCGGTAGGCCTTGGCGTTCTCCTCGCCGAGTACTCGGACTCGCTTGTTGCCGCGTTTTCAGTCCCGCTTGGCCTCCTCCTTCTCCCGACGTCGTACGTCATGATCAAGACGTACTTTACCACGCTCAAGCTCTCGGGTGCAGTCTGGCTGGCTGCGTTGCTCCAGATTCTCCTTCTGGGCGGCTACACCGGCGCGGTTTGGGGCATTGCGCTGGATCGCCCGTCATCGTTCCCTATCTGGCTCCTGATTGGCGTTGCAGGCTACCCAGTTGCTGTCCTCCTCCTGGCAACAGTGTGGAAGTGGCGTGATGTGTCGTATGTGGTCAAGCCGTCAACCAGTGACGGCAAGTTTATCCTAACAGCCTTTATGCTCTCGTTCCTTGTGGCTGCTGGCGTTCCTGTAGTGCTCATTGTTGTACTCGACGAGCTCGCAGCCGGCATTGCTGTTGCGATCGCCGTGGTTGTCGTCTTTGTCTCGCTATGGATTGCGGCCATCTGGGTCCGCTCGTCATTCTACCTCCCGCGCAAGTACCGGCTCGTCCTCGGACTCGGTGTGGTGTGCGCCATTGGCGGCGCGGTGTACTACGGTGTGACCGAGTCTGCGCGGCTGGACGCAGCGTTGGTTGTTGTTGGCATTCTAGTTGCCGTCTGCTTTGGCCTCGCGTTGGAGCAGTATCTGGTTCAGCGAGAGACGCCACTGCTCTTCTCGCAATTTGTCTTCCCTGTCTTTGCTCGCGACGCTATAGCCGGCACACTGCGGCCGGCCAACGGCGGGACGCTTGCGGCATACACCGGGCTGCTTCTCGCTGCTGGCGCCGGTATCGGCCTCGCTTTCGTCCTCGACCGGTCTTGGGTCGGCCTGCTGGTGGGCGGCTATGCGCTGCTGCTTGTCCTCCTCCTCACTATTCACCTTATGCACATCCCCAGCCTCGAGTTCGGCCGGTACGCCAAGTACGTGACCCGCGACATGTTGGCGAGCGCCAAGGCAAAGGCGTCCGAGATGGAGCTCCCCGCAGTTTCACTTGATGCCGCCGGCAAGCCGGTCTTGGCGGACGTCTCGGTGTCGGACGAGTACTACGGCTCGGGCGAGTACGAGTACGAGTACGAGTACGAAGAGCAGGAGCTTGCATCGGGCTACGAGTACGGCTACGAGTATGCGTACGAAGACTCTGGCCTGGAGGCCAGCACGGGCGCGTCATTGTCGGCGTCGTCGTCGTCGTGGTCACTCTCGCTGCGGTCGGTCTCGTCGGAGGATCGCGGCGGGCAGGCGAGCCTTGCCCGAAGCCTGGCACGGATTCGTGCGCTCCGTAAGCGGGCGCGGAGCCGGCGCGAGCATCTGGCGCTGCTGCGCGAAGACGCGCGCGCGGTCCGTCTATACGGCGACGAGCAGCGGTTTGTAGTCCACATGCAGGCACTTGTGGTGGCGCTCGCCAAGGGTGCTATGGCGGTTGAGCTGGATTTGGTGGTGCAGCTTGTCAGCGACCGGGTCTTCCGGCACGCGTTTGATGAGCCGCTTGACGTGTGGGAGGTCGAGGCGTGGGACGAGGACGAGTGGGACGAGCTCGATGGACTTGTGGCCGAGTTCAATATCCGTCGCAAGCTCCGCGCTGACGATCAGGCGGCCAAGGCAGCCGAGGATGAGGAAGCGCAGCGGAAGCGTGACGAAGCCCGGCTTGTCCACCAGCGCGAGCTTATTCGGCAGCAAAAGAAGGCCGGCGCCAAGCCAGCCGATCCCGAGGCGGCCAAGGCGGCCCCGAGCGTGTCGGCCAATCAAGCCGGCAAGGCCAAGGCCAAGGCCAAGGCCAAGGCTAAGGCAAAGGGCAAGTGCGAGGCCAGGGCGAGGCCAGCTGCACAGCCGAAGGAAGCGGCAGCGTGCCAGAGCTGGTATTTAAGCCCTCCGAGGCCGGGACCCGGACCGGTCATTGCCACGGTGGCGCGCGGGAAGAAGTGGGAAGACAACGAGTTCCCGGCGACGGATGCAAGCCTGTTTGTGGGCAAGACCGGGGTGTCCGGCAAGGCCAAGGGCTGGGCGCGGCCCGAGACGATGTTTGCGAGCGCCAATGGGCGCGCGCCTAGCAAGGCCGACATTGCATTGTTTGGGACGGACGGCATTGTGCCTGGCGACATCAAGCAAGGAGCGCTGGGTAACTGCTGGCTCCTCTCGGCGTTTGCAGTTGTGGCGGCGGTGCCGAGCCTAGTGGAGCATCTGTTTGTGACGACCGAGCCGGACGAGGCCGGGGTCTACTGTGTCCGGTTCTGGAACGATGGCCAGTGGGTGCGTGTCCTTGTGGACGACCAGTTCCCGGTGGCGGACAAGCATAAGCCGCTCTATGCGCGGACCGGGCGCGGCGACGGGTCCGAGCTCTGGGTCATGCTCCTGGAAAAGGCGTACGCCAAGCTGTTCGGCTCGTACGCGGCGCTCAACGGCGGCATGGTTCACATTGGGCTGATGGATCTGACGGGCGGGTCCGGCGAGCGTATCGCGCTCGACTCGGAGCAGGCCAAGCAGGACATTGCGTCGGGTGCGCTGTGGGCGCTCATGCTCAAGTTCCGCAAGGCCGGGTATCTGATGGGTGCCGGATCCAACTCCGGGTCAGACACGACACAGTCGGACCAGAAGATTGTGCGCGGGCACGCCTACGCGCTGCTCGATGTGGTCGAGGCCGACGGGCACAAGCTGGTCAAGCTTCGCAACCCATGGGGCAAGGTCGAGTGGACCGGCGACTGGAGTGACAAGTCGCCACTGTGGACCCGACGGCTCAAGGCCAAACTCGGGTGGGTCGACGCCGACGACGGCGAGTTCTGGATGGGCTTTGCCGACTTTGTGCGCGAGTTCCGCAATCTGTACGTGTGCAAGCTCTTCCCCGAGTCGTGGAGCGCGGTCGGTGGGACGTCGGCGTGGGCCGGCGCGTCTGCAGGCGGCTCGCCCAACAACGAGACTTGCAAGGACAACCCACAGTTCCTGCTCTCGGTCACGTCGCCGACTCAGGTCCACATCACGCTCTCCCGCGACAAGTTTGTGTCGGGCGTGGCAGCGAGGCCAACTCCTCGCCTGGAGTGTAGCCGTGCGGCGGACGCATCGATCCGCGCCGCCTCCGCGCCGGCGACCGGCTGGCCACCTCGGGACAGTACTCGAACCTCCGGACCGTCAACTTGGAGACCCATCTCGCACCGGGCAAGTACGTCGTCGTGCCGACAACGTTCAAGCCGGGTCAGGAGGGCGCGTTCTCGGTTGTGGTGCACTCGGAGAAGAGTGTTGGATTTAACGAGCTGCAGCCGTAGCCGGTGGCAGCGATCATGGAAGACGCCCTCACGCCTTGACAAAATCAACAAAGCCGGCGAGGTGCTCAGCGAGGCGCTTCTGAGTGGCCTCATCCACGATGTTGCCCTCGTCGTCAAAGATCTTCTCGGCAAAGTAGTTGACGCCAAACTCGCCGTTGAAGGCCTTAAAGTTGAGGAAGACACCGACCTGGCGCAGATGGTTCTGCGCGCGCATAGTCCGCATCCCGCCGCCAGAGCCGACGATGGCCACTGGCTTGCCCGAGAACGGCTGGACGCCATCATCGTTGCGGGCGCGCGAGATCCAGTCGATGGCGTTCTTCAGCGGTGCCGCGATCGAGTAGTTGTACTCGGGAGTGGCAAAGATGACGCCGTCGGCGCCACGGATGGACTCAGCAAGGGCGGTCACGTCGGCCGGCAAGCCGTCGGCCTCGATGTCCTGCGAGAAGACAGGAAAGCCCGAAATGTCGGCGATTTCAACCTGCGCACCGTGCTCAGCACCAATGCTGGTGAGGTGGCGGAGGAGCGCCGTGTTGGTGGAGGCAGCGCGGAGGGAGCCGGAGATGGCAACAAAGCGGAGCGGGGCAGCCATTGTAGTGTTAGGTGCGTGGTCAAGTCTTTGGTCTGGTCGGTGGAATGTTTGCGTAGCCGTGTTACGTGGCAAAATTGACGGCGATTTTGCCAACTCCAAGCCAAAGATTACGTCAGCTGGCGGAGAAAGCGCAAGCTGACAGTTGGGCGGATAAAGACCGCCACGCCGCGGTGCCGGCGAGGATGAGCGTTCTCCCCAGGGAAGGGGACAAATAGGAGTAAGGATAAGCGGGAGATGGAGTGGTGGTATGGTTGGTGGTGTTAATCATCGTTTTCCGCCCTTGCCGCGCTTGCGGCTGCCTCCACTGCGGCCACCACGGCCGCCTGACCGCTTGCGCTTGCGGCCTGCTGCCGGATCATACTTGCGGCGCTTGTGCTGGATGTAGCGGAGCTGGAGAGTGCCTGGCAGCGAGGCCAACTCCTCGCCTGGAGTGTAGCCGTGAGAGTTGGAGGCGTCGGCATGGCCATCGTCGACAGCGCCCGAGGCGGAAGCCGAGTCCGAGTCGGAATCATCGGCCCAGACCGGCTTGGCGTCATGGGCGAGATCGAGCGGCATGACCTTAGCAGTGGTCACAGTCGAGCTCGATGTCACGGTCAGCGTTGCGCCCTGGCGCACTACACTCAAACTGGCGTTGCCGTCGCTTTCGCTCTCGCCCGCGCCAAAGTCGTCGTCGTCAGTCGACGACGAGAGCCCAAACGACAGCGCGTCAGCTGAGACCTCGCTCACGCCGACAATCTCAGCCTCGCTCTCTTCATCGCTGCTGGAGTAGCAGCTGTCGTCATCGCTGCTTCCCTGCTCGCGCTTGGCGACGACAGGCGTCTTGGTCGACTTTGAGCTTGCCACGGTCGTGCCCTTGGCCAGCTGCTTGCGGACAAACTCGCGCTGGAGCTCATGCTTGCGAGCCAGCGTTGCAGCCTCGTCCGAAACCCGTGACGCGCGGATCTGTGTCATTTCCAACCTACACGTGAGTACCACCACACGATGGCTATCGAGGATGATGCTCCCGATTCGCTGACCAGATGCCAAGCACAGGTATCAGCAGAGAGAGCACAAAGTGGGGTTCGACGGCTCTCCCCCCTCCCCTATCCACCTGCCGCTCGCCCCCCCCCCCCCCCCCGTTCCCCCCAACCCCCCCTGATCCGTTCCCCAACCCCCGGGTTTCCCCCCCCCCCCCCCCCCCCCCCCCCCCCCCCTCACGCTTTCTGCCTCTCGCCGAGGATGGCAGATGGCGACAAGCAGGGCAGCCAGAGGGGTAAGGGGGGCAGCGGGGTAAGGGCATGGGCATGGCGAGTTGGCAACAAGGATGGGAATGACGTACCTCTTTGCGTGCGGCATTCCTTGCCACTCGCTCTGCAGCCTTAAAGTCCTCTGCAGCCTTGCGGCGGCGGTCGTCCTTGCGCTTCTGGAAGCCCGTGATGAACTCGCGGTGGTTGTCGGGGTCAAAGACAACGTGGGTCTTGACAAGCGACTTGCGCCCGCCGCCACCGCCACTCTTACGTCCTCCTCCACGTCCACGTCCACGTCCACCACGTCCACCTCGCTTGCCGCCACGTCCACCTCGATTCTTGCCCATATCTCACTGTGGACAGTACTGCGTTGAGTGCCAGCATCTCGAGTCGTCTCGTCGGCTCGATGCTGTCCGTCCACGACGAGAGCAGCTTGGGCGGCCGTGGTGACAGATTCGATCGTATGATCGCAGGTTGCCTTGGACTTGGGAGAGGATTGACTATATTGTGGAAGGTGTATTGTGGCTTGGGCCGCATGAGAAGAGCTCACCATCGACCGTAAGGCCGTGGCGTAGCATGACCTGCCTCTACGCGCGCGGTTGTCCACTCGTCGCCGCCATGCCAGCTTGCTTACCACCACAAGACAGAGCAAGACACGTCTCCCCACTGATCGAGAGCAGCCATCATGCTTACACTGGACGACCTGCTGCAGTTTTGCAGTGAGATGTCTGGAGAGCAAGTGGGATCTGTGGCTGAGCTGGCCAACGGAGTAGCCGTGGTAGCCATGGCCAGGAAGGTCTGGCCATTGGCGCCCAAGGTGGTGGCCTGGCAGACCAACCCAAAGCCGGCCCACTCGTGGGAGGCAGACAGGAACTGGTCCACTCTAACTCGGACCCTTGCCGCCATGGGCGTTCCTCCCCGCACCATCTCTTCGGTATGCCAACTTCCTTGCCTTCTCTTCTTCTTCCCCCCCCCCCCCCCCTCCACCTGTGCCTGGCGTTCCCACTCACCGTCGTGCGCGCCAAAACCGATCGCTCGGCCCCTCGATCATGGCATGCCCCGAACATCGGCCTGCCCCGATGACTGGTCCTGCACCGGCTCCTGCTCTCGCTCTCGCTCTCGCTCTACATCAATCAACAGTCGGCGGTCCGCAAGGGACATCGTGGCGCGGCTCATGCCCTGCTGGTGCTGTTCTACTTTCTGCATTCGATTGCTAATGCTACTGATGTGGCTGCTGACTTTGAGCTGCCGGTCCCGGATGCACTTGCCGCCTTTCTCCAGTCGCCGGCAGCTGTTGAGAGCCTTGTTCGCGGCGGTGCGATCGCTGCGAGCTCGGGCAAGGGCAATCCGCAAGACAAGCCGCAGGCCAAGGCCAAGGCCAAGGTCAAGGCCAAGGTCAAGGCCAAGGCCGCAACCATCGCCCCGCGCGCGCGTCGCTCTGCGCCGGCGCCGTCGCCAATCAAGCGCGTCGCTTCGCCGGTTGTGGCTGCGCGCCCACCGACAAGCCAGCGGCAGAGCTCGCGCCGGCAAGCTGAGGCGCCTGCTTCAGCTGGCACATCTATGCCAACGCCGGCTCCTGCTAGTGTGCCGGCGCCGGCACCCGCTGCAAGTCCGGCGCCACCTGCCGCGCAAGACGTTGTGTGGCGTAATACCGAGCACAAGGTCAAGGGAGAGCTGGTGGTCAAGAAGATGCGGTTTGCAATCGATTCACTTCAGCGTCAGCTTGCGGCGGTTGTGGCCGAGAAGGATGCTCTTGCGGCTCGGTTTACTGACCAGGTCTCGGAGCTCAAGCGCCGGTACGAGAACGAGCTGCTTCTGCAGCGCGCTGCGCTCAACAACGAGGTGGCAGTGTGCAAGCTCGCCGATGTCTCGCGCGACATGGCTTCTAGCGCCTCGCACGAGGCCCTGCTCCATGCGCTCGCCTCCAAGCTCGCCGACGAGTCCACTCGCTACGGAGGCACTTGCGATGCGGTTGCCCTTGCCTCCGAGGTTGTTGTCCTTCGCCAGGCACTCGCTGCCTCTGAGGAAGCCCGGAATCAGGCCGCCGTCAACAACCGCGAGCTGCAGGCTGCACTCGAGACGGCGCACGCGCTCGTCGCCCAAGAGTCTGAAAACGCGCTGGCAATTCACCTCGACTACGCTCGCCAGGACGCGAGCATTGTCGTCGAGGTCGACGCGCTCGTTGCCGATACCGATGCTGCCGGCGATGCTCCGGCCCGCGGCCTGACTGCCCGCGAGCGCGCGCTTGTTGCCCGCATCCGCGAGCTCGAGTTTTCCGCTGCGCAGTCGGCGGCGCAGGCCGCGCGCTCGACCGAGGAGCTCAAGGCGCAGCTACTCGAGGCCAAGGCTGCAGGCGTAGCCGAGGAAGCGTTTGGCAAGAATCTGACCGAGCTCGAGGCTGAACTTGTTGCCGAGCATGAGACCGTCGCGCTTCGCGAGCAAGTTGCTGCACTCCGCAAGGCCAACGCGTTTCTGCGCGGAGCAGCCGACGCCGCGTGTCCCAGCGACACGCTTGACGACCCTGAGCAGAGCGAGCGTCGTAACGGCGCGCTCCTCTCGGCGCTTCAGGACCTGACCCGCGTCTTCCCGGCTGACGATCCGGTGGCACAGGAGGTCTCTTCAGTTCTCTTCTCCCACTTTTGGGCCCTGGTGTGCGAGGCACGGCTCGCGTCGCGGCGTGCAGCGCGGACGGCAACGAATTGCGCGACTGCGCGTGCCCGGGTCGGCGAGCTCGAATCTCAGCTGGGCGAGGTACAGTCGTCGTTTGCTCGCGAGCTTGCCACCGCCCTCGAGGCCGCGCGAGCCGAGGCCAATGCTGACCACGCTGCAGCAGCTGCCGAGCGTTCGCAGCTGGCTGCCCAGCTTCAAGTCGCGCTGGCGTCGCTCGAGCAGGCCAAGGCCGAGGCCGAGGCGCTGCAGTCCGAGGCCGCCTCCGCCCGCGCATCAGCCCTTGCCGACGACGCCGCCCGCTTCTCCGCCCTCCACGCCAAGTTTACCAAGCTCCGCGCCGAGGCCAAGCGACTGCAGCTCCGCGAGCAGGTGTGGAAGGAGCTTTGCGACCAATTGCAGTCAATGACCCAGGAACTGAGCGGCTCGTCGTCGCTGGACGCGACCAAGGCCCGCGAGCTGGCGTCACTCGAGGCCGGCGTGGTTGCCGCCATCGAGCAGCTCAACAAGCTCGCCCGTCCGGCAGACGCCGCCGGCGCCACGGACCATCTCGAGACCGACGTGGCAATCGACTCGGCCCTTGCGCTCGCTCGCGCCCAGATCGAGCAGCTTACCGAGACGCTGGCCGCCGTCCGGAGCCAGGTCCACGAGCTTCAGGCCGCACAGGCCAGCAGCGAGGCCAATGAGGCTGCGGCCGTCGCTGCAGCCGGCGACGCTGCCACCAAGATCGCGCTGCTCAATGCCCAGCTCGCTGACCTCACCGCAGCCAACGAGGCACTCGCGACCCGCGCCGCTGAGGCCGACGAGTCGGCCCGCGCCACCACCGCCCACCTCCAGGCACAGGTTGCCGACCTCACCTCTGCGCTCGCTGACGAGCGTTCGCTCTGGACGTCGACAACCGATCGTCCGCCGCTGCCGGAGGAGGGTGCTCCTGCCACCGATGCGGAGCCCGGCGCTAGCGCCGTGGATGCCATCGTTGCCCGCCTCCGCGCGCTCTTGCCGGCGCCGCCGGCCGCCAGCCGTCCTGATCCGCAACCCGCGAGCGCCTTCCCGCCCATTCTCGAGTAGCATCTAGAAGCAGCAGTTGCAGTCAAAGGGACAGTCATCGGTATTGCCACCCTTGCCGATGTTGAGCTCGTCGAGGGTGTAGATGCGGAGGCCGTCGACATACCGCGCCTTCCCGGTCTTGCTCCCACGGACATCGGCAAAATCAACATCACCCGATGCGCCGGCCTTGCTCTTGCCCTTGCCCTTTCCTCTACCCTTTCCTTTGCCCTTCTCACCACTTCCACTGGCCTTAGGCGCCTTAGCCATGGCAAAGATGTCGTCCAGCGACGGAGGCGCAGGCGCCGACTTGCCCGCCTCGCCATCCTCACCATCCTCGCTGGCGTCGGCGTCGGTGTCGTCCTTGGTGCTCTTTCCCTTGCTCTTCTCCTTGCCCTTGCTCTTGCTCTTGCTCTTGCTCTTGCTCTTGCTCTTCTCCTTGCCCTTACCACTGCCACTGCCGGTGCTCTTGCCCCTGGCCTTGCCCTTGGCCTTGCCCTTGCCAAGTCCTCGTCCACTCGCCACCTTCTCCGCTCGGTGCTTCTTGCCCTCACTCACCGTATCCACCTTCTTCCGCTTCACCTGCTGCTCCTCCTTGACTCCCTTTCGGCCCATATTGATTGCAACTACTTCTTCTCTGATCAACTCAAAAAGTTAGGTCTGCATCGCTATCCTCATCAGCAATCCTCCCCTCGCGCCGCCTTCTGTCTCTGTCTCTGCTCTTGATCGATCGCCAGCGATCGTAATCGCGATCGATCAAACCTTCCCTGTCTGGTACCCCCCCCTCCTCCCCCCCCCCCCCTTTCCTTCTCCTGCTCACTTTACCACCTCTCCCAACCTACTACCCATGGACTCTGTGGATACAGGTACAGGACAGGGGGGAGTGGTTGGAGCGGCTGCGGCGTTTGTGGCGGCAGCACGGAGTTACGAGGAGGCGCTGGCGGGCAAGGTCAAGGCCGAACATGCGGCAGCCAAGGCACTGGACTCGGCATGGCGGGTGGTGGAAGAGCCGCGAGAGTACTCGGGCGTGTGTGCGGATGGTACAGCGGTGACGCTCACGGCTCCGTTGCGAAGGGCTCGGTCGGATACTCGGGCGCTGACAAAGCTTCAGTCGGCGCTGGAGACTCGTGCCGCCTTGCTCCTGGGTCCGGTCTTCGCCGCCCTTGGCGAGCTGGCTGCGGCGGGGGTGCGCCTGGATTCAGTCGCGGCTGCTCCGCCGCAAGCAGAGGATCCTGCTGCGCTGCTTGCGCACATTGCCGACATCGACGCACCTATCGCGGGGACAAGGCTGGCGTCGACGCCTGCCGCCGCCATCGCGCGGACATCGGAGCTTGACGACGCGCTCGCTCACTGCTCCAGCCGCCTCCGGGCCGCAGGTCTTGCCGCCGCCGCCGCCATCGGCGACACATACTCTGTCTCGCCGCTGGACATGCTCACTGCTGTACTTGGCCTCGGCTCGCGCGCCGGCTGGGCTGCGGCGCTGCTGGACGTACCTGTGGACGCGGCGCTGGCCTCACCAGCCTGGCTTGATGCGCTCTTTGCGCATGCGCTCGAGCTCGGCCCGGCGCTCCCGGTCCTGCTTGCCCAGTATCCGATGGCAGCGGTGGCGGCGACGTCGCGAGATGCCATTGCGTTGGAAGCCGCTGTCGTCACCCCGCTAGCTGCCGGCCTCGACACAGTCGCGACCTCGGCGGGCATTTCCGCCCCGGTCCGCACCCTCACCGTCGCGCTCATTCACCGGATGTTGGCACTGGCGCCGTGCGCGGCGCCCGAGCTAGGGCTTGCTGTCCTCGGCATTCTCACCCGGTCGCCATGGCCGTCGCGCCCGCTCGCTTCGTGGGCCCTCACCCTCTTTCCGTGGCAGGCGCTCGGGGCCGATGCCGCGGCTGTCGCCTTCGCCGAGCTTTACGGCGTGACTGGCTTGCCGATGAGGGCGTGGCTGGGAAGCTCTGCCTCGGAGCGCGCCGAGCATCGCACTGCGTTTGCTGTGACTTGCCTCGCTGCAGCCGCCGACGCTGCGCCGCTGGCGGTCGCCTACGCCGACGCGCTCGCCCGCAACCACCCCGAGTCGGTGGCGTTTGTGCCGGCCCACTCGGATGGAACTCTGGCACACTTTCCGCTTGTGGCCGCTCTCGCTCGTCTGGCGGGCTCTCGGCTCCGGGCACGGACGCCGTCGCCGCCAGCCGAGCTCGATCTTGCGGCCACCATTGTCGACGAGCTCATCGGCGTTGCGTTCTGTATCGAAGATGAGCTCGTGGCAGTCTCTGCTCTCTCGCAGGGAATCTCGCCGCCGCCAACGCCTGCAGCGGCTGCATCGCTGCGCGGCGAGGCGGGCGCGGCGTTGGCTGAACTCGCCACCGGCTCCCCATCAGGCGCGGCAGTGGTGGCGGAGCGACTGGTCGAGACGCTGCTGTTTCTGGATGGCGAGCCGGGCGCGCGGGTTGCCACCTGGCTCAATCAGCTCCCGAAGAAGGCGTGGTCGGGTGCGGCCGCTGGCACCTCACGGGCGCTCCTCGCGCTTCTTTCCGGCACGCTCCACAGCGTCGATGGCGACTTTGAAGACTGGCTGCCGCACTTGATTGGAGGTTCGGCTCGCCCTGGTCCGGTCCCGGCGGCGGCCGGCCCGCTGCTTGGCGGCCTGCTGGACGTTGTCGATCTGACATCAGTGGGCGCTCGTGACAAGGTGCTGCTGCTGCTAGGGTTTGTGCGCGCCGCCGAGGTCCTTGACGCGCGGTGGGTGTGGCAGACCGTGACCAGTCCGTCTGTCGTTGGCGCGCTGGCGTCCGGTCCACTTGATCCGACCTATGTGCAGATTGTGGTCTCTCTTCCTTCCCACGACGCTGGGCCGCTGCTGAGGTGGGTCCAGCTGCACCTGGCAATTGGACTAGCAGCGTCGGCCCCGGACCTTGCGCCGTGGTCGTGGCTCAAATCGGAGGTGCGTGCGATTCACGCCGCTGCCAGCTTTGCCACCACCGACCTGGAGCACGTCTCGGGCGTGTCGCTCGCAATTGGTCTGTGGCACGCCCTCGCCTCTGCAGCTACGTCGGCATGGCTCGAGATTGGGCGCGATTTGGCCTGGGCCATGGCTGCCATCCTCACTGCCCACCCCGAAGCGCTTGACACCTTTTCGCAGCTTGTTGCCGCGAGCTGCGGCTACCAGCAGAAGCACGCAGACTGGCTTGCGCTGTGGACGGCGGTGCTCTCGCTACAGCTGGCATCGCCGAGTGTGGCCAAGCTTTTTGACCTGCTCATCTACTCGGCTTTTGCCAATCAGGAGGAGCTCATGCCGCTGGTGACCGTCCTCCACCACCGCAAGCTCGACGCTGCCGCCATCGACACGCTCCTGGCGTCGTCGCTTTACTGGGTCGTGTACGTGGTGCTGCTGGGCGAGAGCCCGCGGCTTCCGGCTGGCGCGCAGGCTCCGGTCGGCACGTCGGCCATGTACCGGTTTGCAGTTGTTGCCAAGCGCATTCCCGACGAGGTGCTTGCGCTGCCGTTCTGGGAGCAGTTCTGGACAATGTACTTTGAGTGGACCGCGGCGCTTCCGCCCGGCATTGCGATTGCTGACAAGAAGAAGCTGGATAAGCTGCAAGCTCACTTTGTCGAGCGGGCGCACGCCTTTGATGTCGAAGACTTGCAGGCGCTCCGCTCCGGAGCGACGACGCTCAGCAAGGCGCTGTCAAAGACCTACTTTGCGTTTACGACGTGGTCGGACGAGGTCGTGCCGGGGCGCGGCTTGCTGTTTTCCGACCCGAGCCTTGGTCTGCTTGACGCGCTGCGCGAGCGGTCGCCGCCGCGGCTGTACGTCTTTCCGCTGGCAGTGGCCAACCCGTTTGCGCCCGAGTTTGCCGCGAGTCGTGACGCCAACGCTGGACTTGACACTGCCTCGCATGGCGCGCCGAATGCGTGCCGCGATCTGGCAGTTCCGTCTCCGGTCCAGCTTGTAGTGGCAACGGAGTTGTCGTCATTGCAAGCGTCGCAGTCGATTGTTGATCTTACGGCGGCGCTGGGCTCCCTCTTTGACACGTACGCCCGGCTCGCCGCCGAAGTCGACGATCTCTCTGTGGAGCTCCTCGATCTTGCTTCGGGCATGTATGTGGAGCGGTCGCACCGCAAGACTGGCGAGGTCGGATGCGGCCCGAGCTGCACCGGCGCTGCCCGGATTGGATACGCGGTGATCGACGTCGAGTATGCACCAGCCAATGTCCGTGAGCTCATTTCAGTCAACGCGTCCCATTTTCGGTCGGCGGTGAAGCGACTCGGCCAGCTGCCGCAGGCACTCGCCGAGACCCTCGTCGCTCTGGAGCGATCGCTTGCAACGCGAGAGACTGCCGCGCCCGGCACCGAGGTTGCCGATGCTTTCCTCTCACTAGCGAGTGTGTTTGTGGCACTTCCGCTACGGGCCGGCCTCCTGGGTATGGCGCCGCAGCTGGCTGCTGTTCTCCGCGACCTTGCTCGCCTTGCGCACGCATCTGTGACGGCTGCTGAGCTGTTGCCGCGGCTGGCGACCATTCTGGCGTCATCGCCTGCGGTGAAGGACCCGACGGTCCGGTCTGTGCTCTACGCGTACTTTTCGCCGTGGCAGGCTGCTGCTCCGAGCGGAAGTCTGACCGACGCCGGTCTGGAGCTGTACTGGAGCGTGTTGGCACATTTGGAGAAGGGCCTCTCATCAGCAACAGCCCTGGAGAGTTCCGAACAAGCACTGCTTGCCGACGCGCTACAGCTGGACGCGTTTGCAAGGCAGGTCCTTGCGGGCTTGCAAGGTGCTTCACCGACCGAGCGTGTGGCAGGGGCGGGTCGACTTGCGCGGGCGCTGGCGCCGCTGGTCGTGGTTCCGCGGCTTGCTGCCTCTGTCAACGGCGTGCTTGGTCTCCTGATGGGTGATCAGCTGCTGGAGGTTGCGCTCGAGGCGGCGTCTGCAGCGCTGCAGGCCGCCGCGAGCAGTCCCGAGTGGCAGCCGCCGCGGGAGATGCTGCGTTCTCTACCGGTGGAGCGATTGGATCAGGGACCACTCATCACGCTTCTCGAGTCAATGGCGGCAGCGTTGCCGGTGGCGGACGAGCCGCTGATGGCGTTTGTGCTGCCACTGCTGCGACGGTGTGTGCTTGACAATCCGCACGCGCTCGTCCTCCTTCACGAGGCAACCATCGCCGAAGTGGCTGAGAGCGCGTCGGCGGGTGGCGGATTCGTGGACGGACTGCTGGGCATGGGCGGAGACGACGGCGATGGGTCGGATGATGGGTCTGACGAGTCGGACGGCAGCGGAGTCGCGGTGCCGGCGGCGCACACCCTGTGGGATGCGCTTTGTAAGGTCTGCTGGGCGGCGCTCAAACCGCGGGTCGAGTTTGGGACCGGCCGGCGGACGCGGGTCGAGTACCTCTCCACAGTCGGCTTTGATGGCGTCCTCCGGCTTGTGGCCGACGTGGCAGCGCTCTGCCCGGCGGTCATCGACAAGATGGTTGGGCTTGTGGCATGCGTGTTTGGGCCGTATGTGTCGGCGTCGCGCGAGCGCGCGGCGGCGGCCGAGGTTCTGGAGAGCGGCGTGGCGGCTCTGCCGTGGGCAGCGGCCACGTTCCATCTTTGCGACTCGCGGGCGCTTCGGCTGTTGTACTCTTTGACCGAGTCGCAGCCGTGGCTGGTGGTGACGCTCTTCAGCACTCTGGATTGGTCGGCTTATGCGGCCGGCGATGATCGGTGCGGTGCAAGCGCCAAAGTGCACTTTCTGCGACTCCTTCTTGAGCTGCGGGTTTGCGGACACGCTCCTGACGCAGTGGACCGCGTGTGGGAGGAGCTTGGCGGTGGCGAGGCAGCTGACGCGCAAGATGCTGCGGAGCGGAGCTGGGCCGGGCTGGAGACCAAAACGTTTGCGACGTGCTTTACCGGAACGACGCTGGTGCGAGGCCTGGTGGTGCCTAGCCTCGCTGCGCTACATCGTGATGAGCCGAGCTCGCGACTGCTAGACGCGGCGCGGCTGCTCTCGCGAGCTGGGCTCGCCAATGCGGGTGCCGGTGAAGTTCTGCTTGGAGTGGTTCGCGAGCTGCGGGCGCTTGTGGGCTTCTCGGTCACATTTGTCCGCGACGAGTACGAGTACGAGGACGAAAGCGTGCTTGGCGGCGGTGCACTGGGCGGAGCCATCGACGCTTGGCACCTCTCTGCCAAGGCACATGCTTCGCTGGTGAGCCATGTGATGGTTCCGGTGGTGTTTGCGTCCGAGGCGGTACCGGGCCACGCAGCCCAGTGTCTGATGCAGCTTGTCGAATGCGCTGCTGGACGGCCTGCGGATGCGGTGGTTGTCGACGTGGCTGCGCCTGGCTTTGGCAACACCCGCGACGGACTGGATGCCAGGAGCCAAGTGGCGCGTCACAAGCGTGAGGCTATCTTTGCGGCGCTGGTACGGTCAGTGACGATGGCGTGCAGCGCGCTTCCGCCGGTGCTTGCGCTCGAGGCGCTCAACACTATTCCGCTGGTTGGACTCAAGCAGCTGGAGGCTGCTCGGCTTTTGGAAGAGGCGCTGCGGGCACTGTTTAGTGCGACCGAGGGCAAGCTTGCTTCGGCGGCAGCATCGCTGATGGTTGACTCTGACGCGCTGAACGTGCTGGCGCTAGCATGCGCGCGTGAGGCGCTACCGCTCCTGCTAGTGGTGGTGATGGCCAAGGTTGAGGGCGCGGCGCGCGAGTCGCGGTCATGGGCCGAGACAGCAGTCTCGCTGGTGGCACTGGCAAGCAGGTACACCGTCAACCCGTCGTCGCCGCGGGCGTTTGAAGTCATCATTGTGTGGCTCTATGCGCTCCGAGTCATCGGCTCTGCCAACTGGGATGCGACGTCGGGCGAGTCGCAGGCGGCGGTCGCGGCGCTGCGGGCCGAGCTGGTGCGGTGCGAGGAGAGGCTGACTGAATCCAGGGCGTCGGGCCTGTTTTCGATGCTCCGCGGCAAGGCGGGCAGCAGCAGCGAGAGCGGAAGTGGAAGTGCAATGTCGCCGGTGGTGCGACTGGCCGCGGCACTGGCCCGGATCTGGCTGGACCTGCGGGCAGACCGGGCGGCCGGGGCCAAGGTCCGGAGGGCGGCGGAGGCCCGGATGGGCGCTCTAGAGGTGTTGGCCTCCACCCCACAGTGGGCTTCATACGCGTCGGTCCTAATGGACGTGGCCATGATGAGCTCGCCGCTGACCGGGTTTTGTGACATGTACCGCTGGCTGGTCGAAGCTCTTGTCCCATACGCTCGCTACCTGCTGGGTATCTTTGTCACCAACGAGGCCGGCGGGCTGCACGAGGACACAGACGACGCCGAGTACTTTGACACCGCCCCACCAGAGATCCAGCTCGCGCCACTTGTGAGTCTTGACGACGCAGACGGTGCAGATGAAGAGGTTGGTGCGGAGCAAGACCGCGGTGGACGTGAGGAGACCGCGGTCGTGCCGCTCATTCCAGGCATTGCGCCGCCACCGGCGCGTCGGGCCACACCCGGTGCGAGGTCAACCTCTGCCACTTCCTCCCCTGCTCCTACTAGCCTGGCCTCACCTGTCTCGACGAAGCCGCTGATTATCCTCGATTGAACGATGGCGGATGAGTTGCGGCCGGCCCACGTCTGACACTTGGTGACGTGCGGTCGTGCGGTGGTGGAAGGAATACCGGTGGGAGGGAAAGGCACCCCACTCCTTGCCTCAGCAGCAGCCTATTCCCCCTCCCCCCTCTCTTCCCCTACCTCTTCCCTCCCAAACAAAGATGGCGTCTTCCCCGACTTCTGCTTCGGTCATGCCTGAGATGATTGTGATTCCGGATGACTATGAGGCTATTCCGGTCTCCCTCCTCTCCATTCCCACCCGCTACCAGGGCGATGTGGACAGCTGCTTGATCCCCTTTGGCCTCATCACCGACCGGGTCCAGAAGCTGGCCGAAATGGTCTACGAGCAGTACAAGGGCAAGGAGCTGCACATGGTACGCCACTTTACCCCTCCTCCCTCCCTCCTTCCTCTCTCTCTCTCTCTCCCCCCTCCCCCTGGCACATGCCCTCTCTCTGCCTTTGCCCCAATTTGCGTCGCTCGTCGGAAATTCGTGTGGCCAAAATTGGGGTGCTGCTGCTGCCTGGCCTCTCGCTTGGCTGAACAGGTTGGGGGGGGGGGGGGGGGGTTCGAGGGCTGGTTGATGTCGATGATTGAGTGTAGCGCACAAAGTACGAGCTGTGGTGGTACTTATGGTACTTATGGTTGATGTTGTGTGGTGTGTGGTTGGGTACAGCTCTGCCTGCTCAAGGGGGCGTATCGGTTCTTCTCGGATCTGCTCAAGGAGATCTCTGCGCTGTCTGCGGCGGCGGACGCACCTGACGTGGTCAAGCTCTCGCTGCACTTTGTGCGGGTCAAGTCGTACCACAACACCGAGTCGACGGGTGACGTCAAGATCTCGGGCATTGATCTTGACGATCTGGCCGGTAAGAACGTGCTGATTGTGGAGGACATCATCGACACTGGCACCACCATGGTCGCCTTTACCGCCGAGCTGCAGAAGGTGACGCCGGCGTCGGTTGAGGTCATCTCGCTCCTCGTCAAGCGCACGCCGCGGTCGAACGGCTTCCTCCCGCACTACGCCGGCTTTTCCATCCCGGACAAGTTCCTCGTCGGCTACGCGCTCGATCTCAACGAGGTCTTCCGCGACCTCAACCACATCTGCATCATCTCTGAGGCAGGTATCGAGAAGTACCGCGAGTAGGCATCGCCACTGCCCTTGCCGGAGTGAGGTTTGCTTTCTCTCGCTCTCCTCTCTCTCTCTCCCCTCCCTCTCTCTCTCTCCTCCCACCTGACCGTTTATCTTGATCTGATGTGGCAGCCGTGTGGCCGATACACACTCTATCGTCCAATATCTTAGCATCTGTGTGTGTATGTGTGTGCATGTGCGTGTGTGTGTGTGTGGGGGGGGTGTTGATTGTGGTTGCAGTCTGGTGCTCAGCTGCTGTTGGCTGCAACTGGGCTGCTGACTCGCAGCCAACTGTTGGTGGCAGGCAGAGGCAGGCAGTGGACAGGAAGTGCAGGGGGGGGGGCGGACAGAGCACATCACTCGAGACCAGGCCGTCTGGCACAAAAGCAAAGGTAGCAGCGAGCAAGGCAGCAGTGCGGCGGAGTAAGATGGCCAAGGGCAAGCGCGGGCGCAAGGACGAGGGCAGTGGGCGTGCAAGCAAGCGGGTCAAGAGCATTAGCGGCAAGGCAGTGGAGGCAGCAAAGGTGGCGGCGGTGATGGAGAAGAGAGCGGCTGAGGTGGCGGCTCGAGTGGCTGCAGCGGAAGAAGTGGGTATGGTTGGCTCGTATGCAGGCGAGGCGTTGCCACTGGCCACAGAGTCTGTCGTCGACGGCGTCATGGCGCTCGACGGCTGCGATGTGGCGTACAAGGCCGGCGGGCGGACATCCAGATTCATCTTTGCCCTCCCGCTGCATCTGATGCGGCTGGAGGGGACGTCGTCGGCACTGCGTGGGACGCTGACCCAGCTCGACACCATGCATCCGCGGCTCTCCATCCCCATGGCCGATGCCACCCGCGGCAAGGGTGTGCTCGAGCTGCGCGGCTCGATCGTCCGCTCGTCGGACGCCCGCTTCCTCATGCTCTCAGCTGGTCCAGCAGGCACGGTTGCCACCTCCAAGGTCTATGATTCGGTCGTGCTCTTTTCTACAGCGCAGTGGCGGCCTCTGGCGGCTGTCGCATCTGCGCCAGGAGGCGATGATGACGCTGGCGAGGCCGGCGATGACGAGACCCAGCCCGGTCCGTCGCCCGAGGACGCGTTGCAGCCGGTCAATCTGGACTCGCTGCCAAAGGAGAAGAACCCGGTGTGGCCGCATGTATCTGGGCGCTGGCAGCCGCCTGGAAGCAGCGAGGCCGGAGAGGCCAAGCCGGGCGACGAGAGCGGGCCGGCTGGCGGCGAGGGCAATGGATTGCCGTCGGCAGCAGCCGTGGCATCACAGAGCTCACAGGCGTTTCCTGTGGTTGACCTCACTGGGCTCATCCCAGCATCACCGGGCAAGTCGCCTGCACGCAGCGGTGCGAGTGCGGGCAAGGCCAGCAGTGGCGGCTCGCGACGGGCCATCAAGCTCGACTCCGACTCGGACTCGGACGTGCTGTTCTCGTCGAGTGGCGGGTGCGAGTCGCCGACACGCACACGGTCACCCGTCCGCTCGCAACCAAGCCGATCGTCGGCGCGGAAGAAACCCGTCTCGTACGCCGAGTATGAGTGGGACGAGTCTGGCGACGACGAGTCGTCTGTTGTCGGCGCGAGCGGAGCCGGTTCCGAGTCGGACTTTGCCCCGTAGCCATCGGCTGTGTGGCGGTAACTGTAGAATAACCCTTAACGGTACGGTCGTTCGGACGCGTAGTCGCGCGTCTCAAAATGAACAACTCAATGATGCTTGACTTCCAGGTCACCGGCCCATGCTGCGCGAAGCCTGCTTGGCCTGCGGCTTGAGGTCGGAGGCGCGCCCGATGCGTGGCTCGCACGTGGGGCCTGCCTGCCGCCTGACGCTCGTCCCGGCGACACTCTTGTGTTCAACGTGGGCGACGACCTCGCTGTTCTCGCGTGGAAGGACTCGATCGAGTGCCGTTTCCTGGCAACCTGGTCTCGTCTTCCAGACTCAACGACGTCGCGCAAGCGAAAGCGCACCTCTGCAGCAGCTGCTCGTCATCACCACCTTCCCCAGCGAGCCGCTCTGCGACGCAACTGCCTCGCCTGCCGGAAGCTTCATGGTAAGCGATCGCGGCCGCGGACCTTTGCGCCGCGCGCGGCGTCCATCTCTGCATCGCCGACTGTTTTCTGCTGTATCCCACCAGTGGCCACAGCAGCCATTCCCTGGCTGATGATCAGACCGGTAGCTGTATGCAGTGGGTTGACTGACCACGATCAAGTCATAGCCGGGAAGTAGAGATGGCATCTCAGCCGCAGGTACAGCTGACTCCACCTGTCATCACCGTAGCCGTGCCACCACCACCACCACCACCATCACCAGCACCACCATCACCAGCACCACCAGTGCAACCGGCCAGCCTTTCTTTCACCTCTCTCTGACCCTTTTGACATGTCCTCCACCGACGTAAAGGGTTCGGGCGCATGCGTGTTTGTACCGTACGAGGAGGACACACCCGAGTTCCGGGAGCGAGTCAAGGCTGCAGAGACGGTATGTTTGTTTGTTTGTTTTTGTGTGTGTGTGTGTGTGTGTGTGTGTGTGTTGGGGAAGGAAGGGGGGGAGGAGGGGAGTGGAGGGGACAGGCGACTGTCGGTCGGTTTCGTTGGTCAGTCTCTGCTTTCACTTGAAACATGTGTGGCAAGGGGGGGAGGAGGGGGGGGGGGGGGGAGGGGAGGGGGAGGGGAATGATGGGGATGAGAGAGGGGGGGGGTACTCATGTGCTGTGTGTTGTGTGTTGTGTGGTGTATGATGTACGGTGTGTGTGTGTGTGTGTGTGTGTGTATGTGTGTGTTGCGCGTGGTCTTGTCGGGGTGACCGGCCCATCGGTCTGCTATCATCGCTGGCTCGGGTGATTGTGTGGGCGGGCTATGGTCTTTGCGGGCTATGTACTGGTGGTGACCGAGTGCAGAATGTGGATGACTACAAGAAGCGGGTCAAGAAGATCGCGGATAGGGCCAAGAACGTGCAAAAGGCGTCGGCGTCGCTGGTCGACTCGATGGGCTCGCTGGTTGACGAGCTGATGCAGCTGTCGATGCTGGATGCAGTGTACAAGCCTGGAAACGACCCGTTCTCCAAGGGTGTGGCTGACCTGGTGGCGGTACTCAACACGGTCAACACGCTCCAGCAGAACTGGCAGAACACCATCGGGGCGACGCTGGTACAGCCGCTGGAGGATCTGGGCAAGACCGGGTTCAAAAAGTACGAAGACTCGAAGAAGGCGTACCGCAAGGCCATTTCCAAGCACGAATCAGCCTTTTCCAAGCTGCTCTCGGTCAAGGAGGCGACGACGGCCGAAGACAAGCTGGAGATGCAAAAGACTGCCGACTCTGCCGTGGTGGCGCTGCAGAGCGGGACGCTGGACCATCTGGAGGCAATCAACGAGCTCGACTCGAAGAAACTGATGGTTGTGCTTGACCGGCTCCGCGCGTTCACCGACGTCACCGCGCAGCTGTTTGTGGCGGGCTCCGAAGCGCTAGTGACGGTCAAGCCGACGCTCCGCGACATCCAGACCAAGGTCATCGAGCGGCGGCGAGTGCTCAACTCGGAGGACCGCGACCTGTTTGTGGCGGCACGGGCTCAGGTCAACACGGCCAAGCGTGAGCAGGCCATGGCCACGCACGAGCTGGAAATGGAGCTGCGAGCCGCGCAGCCGATGACCGAGCTCGAGCGTGAAGAGCTCAACATTGTGCCGGGCCCGCTCTCACCGTTTGCCCGCGAAAAGGTTGGCTGGATCTACAAGAAAGCCGGCAAGCGCATGATCACAAAGTGGGACAAGCGGTTTGCCATCCTCCGCAACGGTATCTTCCGCCTCTACCGCACGCTGCAGAGCGACGTCAGCGAGCCGTCGACCGAGCTCAACGTCATGGTGGCCAACGTCAAGCCGCTGCCGGAGCAGTCGTCGTCGCGGCCCAACGTGTTCCAGATGGTGGGCGTCGAGCGGACGTACTATCTGCAGGCCGAGGACGAGGAGCAGATGAACGAGTGGCTTAACGTCATCCAAAACGCTACGGCTTACGCGCTGGCAACCGCCGAGTCGGCGGCGTCGAGCTCAGCCAAGGCCAACTCGGTCCATCCGCTCAAGGAGGACTTGCTTGGCGTTGATGAGCTCGAGAAGGCGCTCTTTGCCCTCTGGGACACGCCGGGCAACGAGACATGTTGTGACTGCTTTGCACCCCGTCCGCAGTGGGTCTCGATCAATCTCGGCTGCCTCATTTGCATCGAGTGCTCGGGCCACCACCGCAACCTCGGCGTCCACATCTCCAAGGTCCGCTCGTTCCGACTCGACGATTGGGACGCCACCGTCATGGCATACTTGCAGAACATGGGCAACGTCCGCGTCAACTCGGTCTATGAGGCCGACCAGGCCCGCGTGGTCCGCTACCGGCCCAAGGACGAGACCAACGCGCTCATGCGAGAAGCGTACATCAAGAAAAAGTACGAGCAGCGGTTCCTCGTTGCCCGCGCCGACGATCCCGACGCCGAAGCGCCAAACTCCGATCGGGCGGGCCTCTTGCTCTTCAACGCCGCTGTCCGCGGCGATCCGGTCGCCATCCTCCTCGAACTCGCCCGCGGCGCAGACATCAACTGGGTCTCGCTCGAGTCGTCATCGTACACCCCACTCCACGCTTCCGTGTCGCACGGCCACATCCATGCCTCGACCTGCCTCGTCCTCAACACGGCCGACACCAACAAGGCCGATCTCTACGGCAAGACCCCGCTGCACATTGCCGCCGCCGCCAACCGCGGTGAACTCCTCCGCTTACTGCTCAAGAACGACGCAGACCCTAAGGTGACCGATGTGCAGGGTATGACGCCTCTCGACCATGCCAACCTTGCCGGGGCTGAGGAGACGGCTGCCTTCCTCACCCGCCTCGAGGCACCGTACCAGTACGAGTTCATTCCTGGCGGCTCTGGCCAGGGCTACGACCAGCCGTTCCGTCCGCAGCCTCTGGCCCGGGTCGACGACCCGCTGCCGCCGCCGCCGGTCGCCGCCAGCACCTCACGAACCGACCGCACAATGTCGGACAACTCGATTGCAAGCCTCCAGATCAAGAACCAGGCTGCCGGCAAGCGCCAGCGCCCGCGCTCCATCGCACTCCAGTCCAACGTCGATGTTATTCCGGCCGACGATGGCACCGCCGGGACCGTCAAGCTGCGCCGCAACTTGCCCTCGCTTCCGCCGCCGTCGCTCAAGCCCAAGCCCAAGGCTTCGCCGTAAATCCAGGAAAATGCTAGCCCAGCTGGCCCGACATGCACTTGGCTGCAATCGCAGAGGCGACCGCATGCGCGAGCTGCGGCGTCGGCATCCGCTTGACGTGCGGGAGGAGAAAAACCAGTGTGGCCACTGGAAGCGCGTGGAGAAGAGTGGCCAGCGGTGAAGGCGGGAGGCCGGCCAAGAACGCCAGTACGTGATCTGACGCTCTTTCTGGGTCTGGGTTCCCGCCAGGCTCGCGCTCTGGATCGAGGTCGGCAGGCAGTGGCGGGAGCGAGACATGCGACTTTTGGGTTGCAGCGAGGTGCTCGGTAAACGCGCCCAGCGTCTGGGTGTACGCCTGGGTGAGCTTGAGCGAGGCAGACAATTCGGCTACTTGCTGGGCAAGGACCTGGATCGACATGTTAGTCGTGGCCTCGCCCGGTCCGCTGGAGACGGGCGGAGGAGTGGACAGCGCGGCGTGAGCGGGGCGGGGCCGCTGAAAGGCGTGATCTAGACCAAAGGCATCGTCGTCGTCATAATCGACCAACCGCGGTGGCGGCGGAGTGATTAGACGGTGCCGCGGCGAGTCGTCAGGTAGGACAAACGAGACCGACCGCGGTCGGTCGAGCGACGCGTAGGGCTTGGACAAGGACGGCGAGGACGAGGACGACGAGGCCGAGGAACTCGCATCCGAGGCTGACGGTGACGGAGGCGCAATCGACTGACGTCGGTGCGAGAGATCCATGAGCTCGGGCAGTTGAGCTTGCTTGAGCTCGACCGACAAGCCCGACGAGCGGAGATGGGCGGCTGGGTGGCGGTGAGCAGTGTTGGCCTCATTGGGGTCAGGGTCTGCCACTACGCGCTTGGCGTGCGGCTGGCCCTCGCCGACGGCCGCCAACATGACCTGGGTCTGGAGGCCGGACGGAATGCCTGTGGCGAGGCGAGGATCGATGTAGCCACCGGCAATCTGATTGGGCGTGATGGGCGAGGTTGGCGAGTGCGAAACCGCGTGGCGAGCGCCTGACGACCGCAGCTCGTCGTATGACGCTTGCATCATCGGAATCAAGCCGTCGCTCATGCTCTCGTCCGAGTCCGAGTCGGACGACAAGCGTGAAGGAGGCGAAGCGTGTCGTGACGGAGACGCCGTAAGCTGCGGCTCGCTTTCGTGCAGCGTGCTAGAGCGGTACTGAGCCGCAGCCTTCTGGTACAGCATGCGCTTCTCAAGCGGCAGGTACGACGAATCGTCCGAGCCATCGCTCTCGGACGCATGCGGGGCCGAGAGCGCCGCCACGGCTCGGGTAGCTTCGGCGAGGAACGACGGGATACCACTCGAAGACGACGACGACGCCGATGACGAGAGGGCGTGCTTGGGTGGCGACGGTGCAGCTGGTGCATGCGAGATGGGCTTTGCCGAGTCAGCCGGAGGTGCGGGAGCCTGCCCTGGCGAGTGGTCCAGCGGATGGGTGTAGGCTGGACCTGGGTAGTACGGATTGTGGTTGCAAGGGGGATGCGGCGGCGGATAAGGCGGGTAGCCGCTATACGGATGGGAGTAGCTCGGACTCGCGTAGACATGCGGTGGGTGGTGAGGACTGTGGGGCGAGTACGACGCCTGCGTCAACAGAGCAGGATGGTCAGAATGCGAAGGATGGAAAGGTGGAGCGTGGACCGGCGGTGGCGAGGAATGAGCGGGCGCTAGCGGCGCCATAGAGTGCAGTGGAGTGACATCGCGGGAGCGCGAGCGGAGCGGTGACTCTCGTTTGGGAGGAGACGAATGATCGTCGTGGCTGCGGCGCGGCTCGGGGGAGAGTGAGGCAACCGAGGCGAGTGACGCAAGCGAGAGCGAGTGGCGAGAGCGCGAGAGCTGGCGCGTGCCGGCGATCGACTTGGATGCCGGCAGAGACGAGGTTGAGGCCTGGCGAAGACTGCGGCCAAAGCGAGAGCGCGATGCCGCGATAGTGGCCGAGGGCGGCGATACGGGCGAGGGCGGCGAGGACGTGCGTTCGGATGCGTGGCGGGTGGGCGGCGAAGCCCAGACCGAGCGGATGGAGCGCTGTGACAGGCGATCCTGGTCAGATGCCTGCGAGCGTGGTGACGAAAGACCAACTGAGGATGCAGGCGATGGCGGCGAAAAGTCTCTGCTTGAAGCCAGCGATGCAGCAAGCGGAAGAGCGAGGAACGAAAGGCCTGCCGCCGGCGGATCTGCCGATTCGAGGGTGGCGGTCATGACCGTGGTAGCGACCGAGGCGGAACCGTCATCGTCGGAGGCTGTAACAACAGCCGAGGCTGAGCTGGAAGCCCGCCCCGGGATCTTGCTGTGGGGTGAGAGGTCGTCGCGTGTCTTGACGTAGACCAGCTCGCCGCGGCGGATGCGCTCGAGCGCCCCCAGGTAGGCATCCTTGAGCGCCGACGGCCCCGCGAGGTTCGCATCGGCATGCGCACGGGCATGTGCATCGGCAAGCTCAGCATGCGCGCCATCTGGGGTACCCGAGCCGGCCGCAACCGCCGCCGAGACAGCGGAGAGCTGACGCCAGCGCGCGGCGCCCGAAAGCGATCGCTCCTCTGCGCGACGGGCGACGTCATCCAGGCGCGCTCCAAAAGCCGATTCCTTGGCATGTGCGCGTTCTCGAGCAGCAACTGTGTTCGATCGGAGGTCTGTGGTGTGCTTGGCGTGGAGATCGGAGAGAGCGTCTGCGGTAGAGGCGAGCGAGGCTGACCTAGCCATTGTGCGGGCGTGCGAGTCTGCCTGGGCCTTCTCGGCGTTGCGGGCCGCCTCTTTGGCCAGTTTGCGCTCGAGAGCCTGAAACGTGGCCATAGTGGTGCTGCTGGTGGTACCCGCCCTTGGAGGAGGGGTGTGGGGTGGGGTAGGGAGGTGGGGTGAGTGAGCGGGGGAGAGCGGCGGGAAGGGGACCAATCAGCCCTGGGGAGGGGGGGGGGGGGGAGTAGGACGGGAGGGAGGGGGGAGGGAATGGCGGGAAACGATCGATTGTCGATTGTAAGAGAGAGAGAGAGAGAGAGAGAGAGAGAGAGAGAGAGAGAGAGAGAGAGAGAGAGAGAGAGAGAACGAGTGTGTGTTTGTGGGGGGATGCATGGATCATGATGGGTGGTGGGTGGCGGTCGGCAGCTCGGAGACTGGCGGTTGTTGTTGTTGTTGCAGGTGCGCACGCTCTTGTCAGTCGCTCGACGAGATCGGGCCCACTGCGTGGCGCCGGTGCGAGGTGTAGGCATGACTCGGACCAAATCTCACCACAGCACACTACTCTAGCTGTCTTTGGTGAAGGTATGGTGGCTGTAGGCAACAGCAAGGATGATTATGCGGCGAGTACGAGCTCGGAGAGTACAGGGTGGGTGACAGAGTCGACGGAGGAGATGGGCATGATGGCCGGCTCGCGGTCGAGGTCGTCGAGGTGTGAGACGGGCACAGGAGCAGCGTCTGGGGCTGAATCGAGTTCGGGATCGGGGTCGGGAGTCGGATCGGACAAAGGCGGGCGGGCTGGTGGAGTTGGTGAGTGGACGGGAGATGCTGCGGAGGGAGTGCAGCTGGCGGCGGCTGGGAGTGGAGGTCGGGGTGGCTTTGGGCGTAATGATGATTCTGGTGGGCCTCATCCCGCCTCGCAAAGTGGCGTGGTCGGTGACGGACAGCAGCATAAGCAAGAGCCATGAGGAGTCGTCGGTCCCGACGTGGAGCGTGCCGATCATCGGGCTCGCACTGCTTGGCTGTGTCTTTGCAACGGTGCAGTTGCGTGCTCAGGCACCGCTCTCGCGATCGACGCTCAGCGCGCAACTGGCGTACGGCGTGGTCACACTTGGGCTGGTGCTTGGCGCGACCGGCATTGTTACGGCGCTGATGAAGGCAGGAGTGGGGCGGCTGCGGCCGCACTTTCTGGCGGTGTGCAGGCCGGAGCAGGCGTCCAACGCCACGGACGCCCCGTGGATCTGCACTGGCGATTCCGCCAAGATCGCCGAAGCGCGCCGGTCGTTTCCGTCGGGCCACACCTCGGTCATGTTTGCAGGCTCAGTGACAGCGTCGGCATTTGTGATCGCGGCGCTCGGGCCGGACCTTGCTGTCGCCGCCGCGCTCCTTCCAATTCCTGTCGCCGTTGTGGTCGGCATGTCACGGATCTGGGACCATGCTCATTATCCGACCGATGTTGTCGGTGGTGCAATCCTTGGGAGTGTTGTGGCGGTTGTCGGGGTGGCGCTGCGGTTCCGGTTTGCGACGGCGCGCGAGCACGCCTTGCTATTCCCGCGTCGGCATAGGACTGGCACCCCCCGTAAAAAGGGCTACTGTCGAGAGGCCACTTAGAGAGAGACGGAGCACGGAAGTTCCTGGGTTGAAGCTGCCGGTGCCGTGCGCTACTCTGCGAGCCTATCGAAGTAGTCTACCGCCAGCGTGTGCTATGCCATCGTTGCTTCGGTCGCGTCGTGTAAAGCCTCGTACCGAAAAGAGCCACACCTTTCGCCGTCCTCACCATGGCTGCCCCTCACGACGAGTGCGTATGCGAGGCACTAGATGCGTTAATCAAGGTTGGAATAGGCGGTCACGAGCAAGGCGCGCCTGTGCCGTGGGCGGTGGCATGGGAGGCATTGTGCGCGAGCAAGAGTGGGGAAGGTGGTGACGACGGGGCGGCGAGTGCCGCGTGTCTAAAAAAGGTCGTAGAACACGACGAGGGCGGCGTGCACGGGCCTGGGAGCGGGGCAAGAGTCCGCCAGCTTGGCGGCATGTCGTTTGTGTGTGCGCACTACACAGGCGTGGCGGCGGCGGCGCTGGAAAATGAGTTGGCCAAAGTGCTGCAGACGCTGGACGAGGTGCGACCAGGCGTTGCCCGCGGGCGGACCGCAGCCGAGCTCGACGCCGAGTACGATGCGTACATCGAGGCGCTGCACCAGTACAACGAGATGCGCGACGTGGCGGTGGAGCTTTTGGGCAAGCTCGCGGTGATGGAGGGTGTTCGGGTGACCGAGTTGTACGAGCGGTACGAGCTCGACGTGACTGACTGAGACGAGGGCGAGTCACAGCGCCTCGGGCAAGAAGATCGGATGGGTCTGCCGCAACGTGAGCGACTTGCGGCACATCGGACACCGGCGGGTCCGCGAGATTGCCTTGCGAATACAGAGCTTGCAGAAGACGTGTCCACAGGTAGTCGAGGTGGGCGTCGTTATCGCGTCAAGGCAGACGGCGCACTGGAGCGCGACGCGAATGAGCGGCGCGGAAGTGGCCGTGACCGGCGGCGGCGCAGGGACCGCGACCACGTCGTCGACCGGGCGTACAGAGGAACGTGCCCGATGGCTGCGTGCGTGCGGCCTGGCCGGCGGCGGGCGGCGCGGGCGGACGCGCTCGCCGATAAACACGACCTCGCCGTCGTCAGCTGCGTCGCTCGGGGCGAAGCTCCTTGTGGGAAGCAGCGGGCTGACACCCGAGTAGCTGGCCGACTCGTAGCTGCCAGGCGAGCTCGAGCCAATGCTGTCATCGACGCCGACTGCGACATCGTCGCCATCGCCCTCGCCCGAGTCCGAGTCCGAGAGGATCTCGATGACGTTATCAACACCACTGTGGGCCGAGACCGGCAAGCGTGGGCGAGTCTGAGCAGCCAGAGCAGCGTTAGCGGTGCTGCTGTTGGCGTGACTCGAGCGAGGCGCATGCAAAGCTCCAAGCGGTTGTCTTCGTTGCCGCGGGCGGGCGTGTGGGTCTTCTTCGGCCTCGGTGTCAGCCTCGGCGCGCAATGGCGGGCACCGGCTCGATGGTGTGCCGGACTCGTTCTCGGGAGGCCGGATGGGTGCAGACGGGGGCAGCTGCCGCTTTCGCTTCCGTGACGCCACCAGCCGTGCCTGCGGCGGGCGGGCAAAGCCGAGGGCCAACTCTCTAGATGTCGACGTCATGGGTGGGTGTGGGTGGGAGGGCGGGGGGGGGACGGGCGAAGCCGGGACAGGGAAGCCGCCAGGAAGAGAGAGTGCAAGGAGGAGTGTGGGTGATGCTAGAGACGAGAAGGTCGGCAAGGCGTTCAACGACTCGTGTTGAAGATGAGTGTGTGATGGCTTGAGAAGAGGGAGGAGAAGGCGAGGTGCTCACGAGGAAGGTCGTGGTGCCACGGTGGAGACGCGCAAGGGCACACAAACACACAAGACAATACCGCAATGACAAGGCGGGAAGTTGGAGGCATCTTGCCAAAATTATTTTTGGTGTCATCCACCCCCCACCCCCACCCCTCCCATGGCCCTCAACCAACCCGATCGATTCCCAACAATCGCGAGTCACCTCCTGCTCTCCCCCCCCCTCCCCCTCTTGGCCTCCGACTCTCAGCACAGACAAGCTTGTGGCAGTGACAGTGACACCTCTCGCAGCGCCAGAGAACATGGCGGAGACCGAGACCGAGGGGGTGGCGGACATGGTGGTGGAGAACGGAGCCGCGACGGCAGAGACTGTGGCGGCGGCGAGTGGCGAGGGAAGCAGACCGGCAGCCATGGCGGTGGCGGGCAGCGGAGAAGGCGGCGGTGGCAATGACGGCGGCGGCAGCGGTGGCGAAGGAAGTGGGGCCACGGAGGGGGGGTCAGGCAGCGGTGGCAGCGTGGAGCGGGTGGAGGACGTGGTGGTTGGTGCTGTTGTGCGTTGCAAGTTCCGCAATGGCAAGTATGTGGCCGGCAAGGTGGTGGCCAAGCGGACGCACGCCGAGAGCGGCCAGCCGCAGGTGTATCTGCACTATATCGGACATAATAAGCGGCTCGATGAATGGGTCCCGCTGGACAACATCGAGGCCGAGCTTGCGGTGACGTCCGAGGAGATTCTGGAGAACACTAGCGAGAGCACGCAGCGCGGCAAGATGACGCGAAACATGAAGCGCAAGTACGACGCCATCAACCATGTGGAGAAGAAGGCGGACGACTACGGTGACTCTGCGCTAGCGGCGCTCGAGCGTGAGCACGAAGAGCGGACCAAGGTCAAGAATATTGCGTCGATCCGGCTGGGCAAGTACTTTCTGGAGGCGTGGTACTTTTCGCCGTACCCGGAGGAGTTTGCTGGGCTCGACAAGCTGTATGTCTGCGAGTGGTGCCTCAAGTACATGAAGAAGAAGAAGACGCTGCTGAAGCACCGCAAGGAATGCGTGCGGCATCACCCGCCGGGTGACGAGATCTACTCATCGGGTGGGCTGTCGATGTACGAGATCGACGGAGCGGCGTGCAAGGTGTACTGCCAGAACCTCTGCCTCCTCGCCAAGCTCTTCCTCGACCACAAGACGCTGTACTACGATGTGGAGCCGTTCATGTTCTACGTCCTGACTCGGGAAGATGAGAGCGGAAAGCACATTGTGGGCTACTTTTCCAAGGAGAAGGTCTCTGTCGACGGCTACAATCTGGCGTGCATCCTCTGTCTGCCGCAGCACCAGCGGCAGGGCTACGGCCGCTTCCTCATCACGTTTTCGTACGAGATTTCCAAGCGTGAGAACAAGGTCGGCTCGCCCGAGAAGCCGCTGTCGGACCTGGGCAAGCTCTCGTACATGTCGTACTGGACATACGTCATTCTCGACGTTCTGCAGAACTACCGCGGCAACGTCTCGGTCCGCGACATCTCGACCATGACTTCGATCACCGAGGACGACATCATCACCGCTCTCACTTCGCTCAACCTCATCAAGTACTTTAAGGGCAAGCACGTCATCTACGTCACCCCGCGCGTTGTCCGCGAGCACTTGCAGCACTTTAAGAAGCCCAAGATCGCGTTCGACACGGAGGGCTTCCACTGGCACCCGCGCCCGGTCTTGCCCATCTCGGCCCCGCCGCACATGCTCCCACCGCCCGAGTCCGGTGCCAGCGCTGGGCGGCAATGAAAGAGATAATGTGTAGAAAAAGGAGAGTGTACGATGTAGTGTGCAAGAGAGGGGGAGGAGGGGGGGGGAGGGTATGTGCAGCCTCACTCGAGCAGCGGGCAAAGCGCCGGCTACGGCATCGGCTCCATGACCACCGAGTCGACAAAGGTCTGCATGGGCAGGCCCGAAGGCGAGGGAAGGACGGTGGGCGCGGGCGAGGGCAGGACCGGGACGGCCAGGTCATCAAAGCCGACCGACGCGAGATCGTTGCAGGAGAGCGACGACGGCAGCTGGCCAAAGAAGGTGCCTTCCGAGGCAGTTGCGAGCAGTGGGTAGAGCGAGGAGGCGATGCGGGTGGCGGCGGCGTGGCGCGAGCGCGAGGGGGCCGAGGCTTCAGACGATGCAGCCGAGTTGCGGAAGTTGGGCACGCGTAGCATGGGCGGGCGCTTGGAGGCCGAGGGGAGGTCCTTGCGCGACGGCGGCGGGAGCGGCGACGACGGCGCCTTGAGCGTCTTGCGGCGCTTGACCGGGCGCGGGGTCATCGACGGCATAGGCGACGAGCCGCGCGAGTTGGCGAGCTTGTCCTTGGTGTAGAAGCGGTCGAGGAGGTCGAGCTGCTTGACGTTGCGCCGAGTCACGATTTCGTTGACCACCTGCGCAGCGTACTCTTCCGGGTACCGGGAGCGGACCTTGACGGTGAGATCATCGATTTCGGCGCTGGAGAGCTTGCGGACGTTGAGGGCGGCCTTGGCCGACCGCGACTGCAGCGAGAGCTGCGACGGGGTGAGCTCGCGCGAATGTGGCGCGTCGCGCGAGCGGGCAGCACTCGAGCGGGTCGGCACGGCCCTTGCCTCGCGCATCGGCACCGGCAGCGGGTTGACCGAGATGGTAGACGGCGACGGCGGCTTGCCGACCGGGCGCGGGACTGGGCCGGTTGACGACGGCATGGTGACCGGACCAAAGGCAGCCGACTGGCGGCGCCGGCGCTTGAGGCCACGCGGCGACGGCGGGACGCCGATGGGGACCGACATGGCCGGGTTGGGCGCGGCCGGGACCGGGAAGGCCTGCATGCTGGGCCTAGCGACAGCCATCGGAGCGAGCTGCGGCTGCGACGGGCCAGCTGCGGCTGCGGGGGCCGGCAGAGGCTCCGGCACGGCTGCCGACTCGGAGCGGCGCGAGCGCGAGGCCGAACGGCGGCGCTTGCGCTCTGCGGCTGCGGCTGCGCGCTTCTCGGGCGACGGCACGTACTTGCGGGTCGACTTGCGCTTGATCGAGGTCAGGAGCTCGGGATGGCCACGGACAAAGTAGTTGTGGAAGAACTCCCAGCGGTGGCGCGACTTGACCTTGTGGAAGTTGTACATGTTGAGCTGGCGGACGTACGACTGGAAGTTCGAGTGCTTAAAGTACTTGCCAAGCACGTTGCGAGCAAACTTGTCCGGCGAGTGAACGACAAAGGTGTCGCCTGCGTCGGACCAAGCAAGTGCGTCATCACACTCGGGGTCGGACACCATCTCATAGGTTGCGGTGAGGAATGAGGTGATCTCCTGCAAGGGCCGGCACGGGGAAGGGGAGGCGGGTGAGTGTGGGTCGGGCTATGACGCTTTGCAAGCTGACGTAAGCGGTGAAGCGTCTTTGGTGAGGTCGGTTGCTGATGGCAGCAGGCCAAGTGGCAGGTTGCCGTTGCCCGCTTGCGCCAACCACAGAACAAAACGACCAATTAGGTAACAACGGGCCAATGGGCGTGATGAGGTTACGGCGGGCCAGGGGGCCCACAAGGGGTTTGCGAACCGCACCAAGGGGAAGTGTTGTACGTGCTACATAGTTGCACACCATGGGGGGAGTGGGGGCGTGCGGGGCGTGCAGGGGAAGGCGGTAGGGGATGGCGGGTGTGCGTGGCACGAGCGGGAGTTGCGCTCCTTTGAGCGACTCGGCGAAGCGGCACGTGCTCAATGGGCGTACCTTCTCAAAGGCCTTGGCCGAGCGCTCATAGGAACGGCCGGCCGGGGTAGGCATTGCCGCAGGGTGCGGCGTGTATACTTTGTTGCGATGGCCCATGGTGGCCTTGGAACGGTTGGTAGAGGTGTTCAGAGCAGGGGCTGTTGCAAGTGTGACGGCGTGTGGAAGTGGGTGACGTCGAGTGCAGAGTGAAGTGACACAAGATTCGTCAGTTTTGCTGTTGATGCGTCAACCACCGAGAGTAACGTCAGCAGTGCCACGCAATCGTGTCGCCACCAGTTTGGCATGTTGGCTCACACCAGGACCGCACAAGCTCACGAAATGGCTACAGCTGAGGCAGATAGGCCACAGTTGTGGCAGCAGAGGCCAACTCGGCGATTGCCTGCGGTGTGGATGGAGTTGGTCCGCTTAGCTGGCGGGAGGAAGGCAGGAGCGGGAGATTGCGGCGGGACGCGGGCCGATGTGCGGCGGCATGTCATGTGCGCGAAAGGCAGGATTCTTCCGTCACCGGCTTGCGCCAGCCGTGGCGCGAAAAGGCCAAGAGGTGGGAGTCGAAAATGATGAACGGGAAATTCGCATCGACTGAACTCACTCGCTCGCCCCGACTAACAAGTGTTCGAGCAATTGATCGATAATTAATTGATTGCGTCGTCTGGGTTTTGTGTGATTGAGGGGGAACACTCCATTCATTTCTTCACCGATTGTGACGGGAGCTTTCGAGAGCAAGACACACTTGACTTTGACGATGGAGGAAGTCACCTTTGTGCCGGCGAACGGGCACGCGCCCGCCCCGCTCTCTGCGGATACCTACGCATACTACCTCTCTGATGCAGTCAACTACGGACCCGCGTCGCGGACCTTCCATACGGTCACGACATGGCCCGAGACCTTTGAGCCGCTTGCCGGGCGGCTGGTGGTCATTCGTGACGAGACGACACGCAAGCGGACGCGGCCCAACCCAGACCGCGTTCCATGGAAGTCGCCGCGCGGGTGGAAGCCGCTCAAGTCTGTGCGCAACCTTCCTGTTATGGTACGTATTTCTAGGTGCTCCTTTTAGTGTTCCCCCGTTGCCTGCGCTGTGGCCATGCCCATCCCCCGCACCCGGTGGTGGAGACCCGGACTGTTCTTTTCTTCGCTCGCTGACGTCGCCCCCCCCCCCCCGCCGACTCCTTCGCGAAGGATCGAGCCACCCTCGCCGAGCCGGGCTTCCTCAGCTGGTCTTGTGGGCTTGTTTTTACCTCGCCAGCACCTTTGCAAAGCACGGAGAGGGGGTGTGGGGTGTGGCTCATGCACTTGCTTCGTTTTCCTTCCCCTTCCCCCCCTGAGCACCAAGTTCCCCCCGCCCTGGCACAAAGGCTGCGGGTGGCGGAAGCCTCGTGCGGGAGTCACTCGCTTGAGTGACTTTGTTTATGTTTTCGCGCCTCGGGGCGGGCTTTCATTGGCAGACGCGTCAACTCACGAGTGAGAGGGTTGGACATGGGCATGAACGGGGACAACTGTAGGTCCAGTACCGCAACCGGTCTGACGGCGAGTACAAGTACCGGATGTACTGCTTCCACCGCAGCGGGAAGCGCGACGAGACGGTGGTCCTCCTCCACGTGACCCACACCGAGACGTCGGACCGTTACGAGATTGAGCAGCGCGCGCGCGAGATGGGCGGCGAGACGGCCGGGAGCAGGGTGCATCCTGAGGTGGCGGCGCGGCAGGCGCGCGCGTACCACGCGCATCAAGAGGCACAAAG